GGCAGTGCGGTTGGCGCAGGATAGAGCAGGGTTTAGGGCTGTTGTGCATAGGGTCGCTATGAGTCGGAAACGAGTCGACGGCACATAACAACAACAGAGCCCATAAGCATTTGTACCACCCTGGGATTCCTATTGTTAGGCATATGATTTTCAAATTTTTTGCCATGTCTGAGAATTTATTTCTCTGTGTTTTGAGTCCCAGAAAGATTGTCTTTAATATTGAAATGCTTGTATTCTTCGATTTAGAGCTTAACATAGATTTTCATTTGGGCATTAAGATACTCTGTGTGTGTGTCGAACCTGTGTGATTTTAAGTACTTGTAATCCAAGATTTGTAGTGGCTCTGCCAGAGTTCCCCGCGAAGAAATGTATGTCTTTGTAGCAGAGGCCCCATCAATGCACGCAAAGGGTTCACCTCTCCTCTCATAGTCTCAAACAGATAGAAACCTAACCGAAAGCTCACCTCCTGAAGACAGCACCTGAGAACATTGGTGAAACTTGAAATCTGACAAGAGAAGCTTACTTAACCCAGGGAAGAAAGACTGATGAATAGCAGAAATGAGGGAGAAATTTTACAGGTCCTGAGAGAGCCTAGAGGGCAAAGGGTATACCCACTGGGTATAAAGGCTACAGAGAAGGCCTTGGGTTCTGTGTAGAGATCTTGGAAGTGCACTGCTCAAGCAACAGTACCCTTCTCTCTTAGTAGATACTGTATGAAGCAACGTAGTGATTTAACAGTGATGGTTCAGAAGAAGTTCATGTATCAGATAGCCTTGTCTGTAAATAGATGTGTATCATCTCATTCTGAGAATCCATCCCAGTTTCATGTCTCTCTTTTTTGGTCCTTTATCTTCTAGCTAGAACAGCAGAGGCAGCAATTGCTTACTGAACGCCAGAACTTCCACATGGAACAGCTGAAATACGCTGAATTGCGAGCCCGACAGCAAATGGAGCAGCAGCAGCAGCATGGACAGGCCCCTCAGCAGGCACACCCACATTCAGGAGGGCCTGGTATGGCCCCACTTGGAGCAACAGGACACCCCGGCATGATTCCTCATCAACAGCCCCCTCCATACCCTCTGATGCACCACCAGATGCCACCACCTCATCCGCCACAGCCAGGTGAGAGGAAGACTGCACACAGATAAGGCGTGAGCTTGTTCCTGGGTGATTGAACTTCAGAGGGTATTTTCTTACTGTAGTCAGAATGTCATCTCATTTAAGAAATCTGTACAGTAAGTGTGCTGTGTTTCCTTTATTGAGTGCTCTCTTCTTGAATCACTTAGTCTGAATGGGTAGTGTGTCTCACAGTTCCTTAAAATTCATCCTCGTATGTAAATTTTTCAGCTTCTTAAAGACATTTTTAAAGCCATACATAAAAAAAAAAGGGCAATGAACTCTTTTGGCCCAGCCTCAGTAGTGGAAATCCCTAATCATAGTAAAGAGAAAAGAATAAAAATATCCCATATACCTATCCCCAGCTTCAAATTAATGACTTATTTACCAGTCTTGTTTTATCTGTTCCTCCTCACTTTGGGAAAGGATATTAAATTCAAAATGTATCATTAACAGGTGAGTTTTTCTTGAACACAGCCTATCATTTGACAGAACAGAACCATAATTTCTGATATCAGGTCAACGTCTTTGCAACTTTGGTTGGTTAGAGTCATACTGCTCAGATAAAGCCCTAATTAAAGAATTTGGTTACTAACCAAAAGGTTGGTGGTTCAAACCCACCAACCTGCTTCAAAGGAGAATTATATGGCAGTCTGCTTCTGCAAATATTGACAGCAGAAACTTTATGAACAATTCTGTTCTGTCCGACTAGGTCACTGAATTTAGATCCACTAAGTGACAGTGCATGGGTTGATCTTTTGTAATGTAATATTACAATGTTCACCTTCTTGAGAGAGTGAGTGGGTGTGTGTGTGTGTAAGTGTAAGTAAAAGACTTTTCAAATCCTCTACACTGGCTATACCTGGTTATACACCCACGTGCATTACGTCTTTTTACATATCTCCCTCTTGCTCCCTCCACCCATTTCCTGTAAACCAGAGGATTATTCTGGATGAGGTTCTGGTTAAGTTTTTTTTGGCATACGTTTTTAATGTCCATTTCTCTTCGTGATGTTAAGACTGCTCTTTGATTCCAGAGTCAAGATTTTCTATCCATTACAAAATCACACTTCATCTGGTGATCTTGGCTGCTATTGAGAATTGTCGTTTAGATCAGTTATTTCATTAAACGTTACAGAATGGTAATTACTGTAAATTTACTATTTTCTCTTTATTGGCAGCAGTTATTTTTAAGAAACCCAACTTTGTCAGTCATTTATTCTGAAAATCAGTCCTTTCTGAATCGGCTGGATCGATGCTTCTTTGTTTTACTTTATCAGTTTATCCACTACCTGAATCATAAGCTGTTTCTCCACCTCCAGGGGTGGTGACCAATGAAGGATTTTCTCCATTATTAAAAGCGCTTTTTCGGTTGTATTTTTTATGTATCTATTGTAGGTGTCCATGGTTTTGCGTATTTACTCTATTTGAGTTATTGTACACTTTTGATATTCTTGTAAACTCATTGCCTATTAGTCTGAACCAGCTCATAGCTGACCCTCCAGCAAGTTTCTGAGGTTATAAATTGCATGGAGGGGCCTCCTGTGGATTCAGATCACCAGAGAAGCACCACCTTTGGTGATGCTTACCAGCCTTGCCACCAGAGCTCCCCAGAGCTGAGACATTTTCACATTGACTCCTACTGACCACATTTCAACTAAGTTAAAAATTCATCAAGACCTAAAATGTTCCTTTTATTCCAATTTTTAGGTTGTGGTTTGTATGTATGCATAGATACTGATTATTGTTCTCACCTGTAGAATTTCATTATTTGATCATCTGTAGAAGAGGTATTTAATATACCAAGTGCCTTGGCAAAGCCAACACTTCTTGACATGGACTGCATATTTTCTGTCTGAAGCACATAGAAACAAGCAGAGATAGCTAGAGTGAGAACTTTGGAAGCATTCAACTTCACAAGGAACAGATTTTCTATATAAATCTCATGGAAATAAAGCGCTCTGGTGGCTTGGTGGCAAAGACTTGTGCTGCCAACCTAAAGGCTCGTAGTTTGAATCCATCAGCTGTGCTGTAGCAGAAAAATGAGCACTGTCTTCCCTTGTGATTTCCTGCCTCTGGAAACCTGCTAGATGGGCAGCTCTGAACCAGTTTCTACGCAGCGGTGCAGAACAACAACATGGAAATAACTGGACATGTTTGCCAAGGAAGTCGTGGCTGAGTATAGAACTGCCATCATCTATGTTCAATACAGATGTTATGATCAGCTTCTCTCTTATGTAACCAAAGGGTTTTACTTAAATGACAACTTGTCATGTGAACCCTGCTACTGATCGTAATAAGTAGTTGAGTATTTTTAGAGAATAAGAAAGCATATCTAAAGAACAAAGAAATGTCTTTTTAGACTTCCCTCTCATGTTGAGATAAATGTTGCCCTTTTATCTTCCATTTTAATTCTTTTTCTATCACTGGTTTGTTTGGTCCATGTAACCAAACTTATTTTAAAATGAGACTGCCCCCATTTTCTTCTGGTGTGACAGAGCCATGTTATCAGTTTTCACTGTCATGGTTTTCCCTGTCAAGTTGTTATTGAAGCCTCTAAGTGTTATTAGATTTCTGGTCAGCCCCAGGAAGATCCTTAGTGAATTTTATATTCTCCTCTTAACATTTGGCATAACCTTTGAGAAACTTTTGACCCTTTGTGCCAAGGTTAAGTTGATAGCAGTGCTTCTTACTACCTAGCAGCTATACGAGGAAGGTTTTCTTCATTAGTTTATAAAGCTCTTGACTAATAACTCAGACATTTTTTTAATTGGCTTATTGTAATTGTAAATTAATGTAATTAGCATTTTGTAGCCTGCTTAAGTCTTTGGAGTTACTTTTCTCAACTCTTAAGCATTATTAACTGCTGTACTAGCCCACTGATTTGCGTGTGGAAGGGACAGATAGAGGTTTGTTCTCAGGCAATCCTCTCTTGCTAAACTGGCACAGCATAGCTTGTGGGAATGGCTGTAGATGGAATGTAACCTCATCCTCTGCTGGCCTTAGAATGGATCAAAAGAGGCTCAAGACTCATAGGACCTTGGGCTACCACTTCCTCTATTCTACTGAAAGATTGGGCTAAGTAGGTTTTATGGGCTCAGTCGAACCCTAATTACCATTTTCTTCTGAGGACACAAGACTTAAGCTCTTGGCATCGGTGAACATTCAGTGCCTGCCCTGTTCTGGATTCAGTGCTGATGCCAGAGGTGCAAAACCAAATGAGAATATGGCTGTTCTCTCAGAGCTCCCTTGGTTTAGCGTGGAGACCGAGAGCCACTTCCTTTGTCAGTTGCCATCCATTTGGCTTGTACACACAGCCGTCCTGCATGCAGCAGAACAAATCCCTGATTGATCCTCGTCATCTCCGTTGTGTCCGTAGTGCGTGTGTATCCTCATATAAGGAAGACACAGGTGCCACAGGGATAGAAGGGCACATTCACAGGTTTTGAGACTCAGAAATAGAAAACCTAAATATCGTCCAAGTATTTCCTGAGCCTCTGCTATAAGCCAGGCATTGCAGTTGGCATTGGACAAGACTAAAGAGGTAGGCCCCTGTGCTCAAGGAGTTTATAGTCTGGCAGTTAATGCAATTACTGTTACATAGAGGAAAAGACATCTGAAGATTTCATGTTAGCTAGGACTTGACAGTGAGTTAGAATTTATTAAGTAAATAATAATGTGTTGATGCTCTTCTTACCTTCATTACATGTATTATTTCATTTTTAATCTTCATGATAAGCCTAAGTTAATAGATAATTCCTATTATTTTCATTTGAAGATTGGGGAACTTACAATATAGAATGGCTGCTAATTTGCCCATTGTAACATACTAATGGTAAGCCCAAAAGATTTAGTCTCTTAACTCTGAAATGAAAGAAGCATGTTTTAGGCAGAGGAAAACTTGTATGGATGGACAGGGGCCAGTGTTTGAGGAACTACTAAAATAAAAGAAGCCGTTGTATCAGGTTGATCCTGACTCATAGCAACCATGTAGGACAGAGTGACATTTCCAGAGTTGTAACATTTTACAGAAGCAGGCTGCCCAGTTCTTTTTTCATGGTTTTAAACCACTGACCCTTTGGCCATCTAGTGCTTAACCACAGCACTACTGGGACACTTCTTGGGGAGCCACAGGCGGGGTACTAATTCTGGATCACACTGTACATGTAGGACAAGGCCTGGGAGTAGAAGGGAGTGTTGAGCTCATGTAAAGACACTGAATTTCTATCATTCTAATAGAGACTGTTGACAGAGGAACCAGGATCAGACTTGACCTGTTAGAAGGTTTTCTCCTGGCTGCATTGGTCAGGCCTTTAGAAAATGATTGTGGAAGGAAAAGACTGAAGGCAACAGTAATGTGACTGCAGTAGTCCAGGGAAGACACGCAAGGGCCTGCCGTGAAGTGAACCATTGTACAGACTCTGCAGACAGATTCCCCCGAATTCCAGGGACACTTAGGTAGCTTTAGAGAGTGAGGTTAGGCAAGCAGTGTGGAGACATTGAGCAACGGAATTAGAAACCTTAGTCTGTAAGCTGCCCATTTACGAAGAAGGCAGTCAGGAGGATAGTTTGTACACAAGCACAAAGTTGTGCTAGAAACACCCCATGGTGCAGATAAAGGCTTCCAACTCTGTGAGTGACCTGAGGGTAGGGAGTGGAGTTCCTCCTTTAGCTTTTGGGATCAGAGCATTTTAAAGGAGTTGTTGGAAGAAGCGCTAGTTTTCCAGTAAGAAACTTCAGGCTCCATAAGACTTTGCTTTGTAAGAATTTGCCCAGAGTCACATGACTGCTAAGGACACACCTTGACTTGGAACCTGGATCTCAAGTCACCTGTTAGAGGTGTTTCTTCATTGGACCATGGTAACCATAGCAGCACACTTGACACCAACGAGAATGGTCTTTCTGAGATAACTTTATTGGAGTAGGGAATATACTACAGTATGCTGCAGCCTTTAAAGGCCAGGACAGAGGATTCTAAGGGCTTTGGCACAGGGACACAAAGGAAAT